TCTTTAGTACAGTGTGTATCATGACATCATACATGTCATTGTTTGTCTTTAAAAAATATAAATATAAAAAATATAACCGCGGATGTCTGAGGGACAGTGATTGGCCTACATGTTCTGAATGCTGGCGTACCATAAAGAATAAATTATTAACAGTTTAGCTGCAAGCAAGGAAGACGTTACTTGGATATAACCTAATGGAATATCTTCAGAACGGCTCCAAATGACACTAAACTCATATGGGTGAGTCGAACATGATGGAATAATGTAAAGTCTAAGGCCCAATGTAAAAAAACGGTGTTTCCTTTTGATATATTTGAATCCCTCGCTCTGTTTTTTATTTCATGCTTTTCTGTGCCCCCATGAAAACACGCTGGCCCCCTCCTGGCTCCCCTGGTGCATTTGCTCTAGGAGCGCCGCTGGTGCCTGCGTACTTACAGGACAGGCTGACGTCACAGTCCTGTGCTCCTGTCACCTCAGGGCCCGAACCTCCCGCCTCAGACCGGATCTGCTCCCCTGTCTGTGGGTTAGCGGGGATCCGGGTCCCGCTCTGGAGCAGCCCGCACGTGCAGCCGTGTCCTCGCAGCACTTGAAGCTCGCGCTCGATCTCCGTCAGCCTTCCCTCGAGCCGCTGGATCTCTTTGTCCCTGTCGGCCACCATCCGCTGGTACTCCCGGGTCCTGGCTCCGTTCACCCCGTACAGCACGTTCAGCACAGAGTCTATCGCCAACCGGACCGCGTTCTCCACCACCACCGCCTCTTCGTCCCGGAGGTGTGAGCGGAGAGATTTGTTTTCCACCAGATTCATACTGAGAGGAGACCTGTGGAGGTGAGCGCGACGGGAGGAGCTCCGGCCCGGAACACCAGAGCAGGGGAGGACGGGGCGGCCGCTTCTGTCCGCTGAAGTCACGATAACCGGACCGGTTAGCTTAATCTGCGGTCCAAAACTACGTTTAACAAACACGCAGCTCGGAATCTGTATAGACGAGACCCAACTGTTTACAACGGAGTGACCCGTTTCCCCTTTTTCTTCTTCTGTTGTTTGCATTTGGCACACAGTGGCGCACTACCGCCACCACCTGGTGAGGAGGGAAAGCAACGGTTAAAGCATGGAAGAAAAACAGTCTTATTGGAATCTACCTTTTCTTGTACACTGAGTTTTAAACACTGATTTTTTTTTTTTTACTACGGAAGAGGATTAGGGCCACTGAAAAAAAAAGTTATTTTTTAATTTTATTTCAGTATAGTACGGGACAAAAGTCAGAATTCTGAGAAAAAATAATTCTGAGGAACAAGTCAGAATTCTAAGAAAAAAGTCAGAATTCTGAGAAAAAAGAATTCTGAGGAACAAGTCAGAATTCTAAGAAAAAAGTCAGAATTCTGAGAAAAAAGTTGAATTCTGAGATTCAAAATTCTGA